GTATCATAAATCGTATTTACTTTCTATTCCAATAAATTGATATAAATAAAATATTTCAAGAACTCAAGTGCTCTTCAAATTAAATACCACATTAATCAATAAAATATAATAAATAATATAATGTATATAATATATTAATATAATATAATATATATAAAGCTTTCAAATTCAATACCATATTAATCAATAAAATATAATAAATATAATATATAATATATTAACATAATATAATACATATAACATATTAATATAATAAAATATATATGAAGCTCTCAAATTAAATAATAATTATAAATCATACATAAATCGTAAATAGTGTTATAAATCGTATACTCTTTCTATTCTAATAAATTGATATAAATAAAATATTTCAAGAACTCAAATGCTTTCAAATTAAATACCATATTAATCAATAAAATATAATATATAATATATTTACATAATATAATATAATATAATATAATATAATATAATATAGTATAATATAATATAATATAGTATAATATAGTATAATATAGTATAATATAGTATAATATAGTATAATATAGTATAATATAGTATAATATAGTATAATATAGTATAATATAGTATAATATAGTATAATATAGTATAATATAATATAATATAATATAATATAATATAATATAGTATAGTATAATATAATATAATATATATATAAAGATTTCAAATAAACTACCATATTAATCAATAAAATATAATAAATATAATACATAATATATAATAAAATATATATAAAGCCTTCAAATTAAATAATAATTATAAATCGTACATAAATCGTAAATAGTGTTATAAATCACTTTCTATTCCAATAAATTGAAATAAGTAAAATATTTCAAGACTTCAAATGCTTTCAAATTAAATACCATATTAATCAATAACATATAATAAATATAATATATTAATAATATATTATAATATATATATATAATAATATATTATACTTATTATATATATTAATATAATATAATACAATACAATATAATATAATATAATATAATATATATAAAGCTTTCAAATTAAATAATAATTAAATAAATAGATAAATCAATATGATATAATATATATAACGCTTTCATATTAATCAATAAAGTATTTCATTTTCAAAGCTAATCAAACAATTTCGCACAAAACAGATAGTTTGCCAATGTTATTGCTTCAAATAACATTTTACCCAGTCCTGGATTCATTTCAATCGTATTTCATGCAGCAGCGCACTTTAGATGTGTCCAAACACTTGCGGTGTAATATCAACAGGTCGTTTTTAGGGGATTCGCGTTTAATAGTAACGTCAGACTAAATTGAGAAGCGTGTAATTTAATTGAAGCGCACTTTCTCAAGCCCTCCTTCTCTCGCATTTATTACGCTAATAGTTATCGGGGGGTTATTGCGCCGTCACTCTTATAATCGTTTCGTTGACAACCTCGAAGGAACTTGCTCAACGCCGCGCTCATAAAACCGGATCGGTTTTTCTCTTAATCGTAAGGTCGCATAATTATGTAATTATACTTTTTCCCATCGTATCTGCAGTTCAATGCCTGTTGCAGCAGCCTCGGCGACATACCAAGCTTCTACATCGAAGAGATTGATCGGCGCAGTGACACTCACCTTGCGTTCCGTCTTTTTAACTAAATGGCCCAGGCGTTAAACGCCTTGCTGATCTTATCTCTCGCGATTTATTCATCAACTCACTGCGAATTGTTCCCTCGACGATTGTGGAAATCGGATGATCTGATGACTGAGACGATTAGCGGGAATGTCACGCGACGTTGTAAGAATCACGCAACAGCGTCAAAACTCTTAACCCCTTGAGCGTTTTATTTCGAGCGTACTCGTCGAATGAAAAGATGGAATCTTTTTTTGTTTAAATTTCGCGTTTACTCGTCGGGTAGAAAAAAAAACATTCGCTTTTCCTATTTGTTGTAAAATATTTATTGTAAATAAAATTTTCATATTATTAAATAATATTAGAATAATATTAAATAATACTAGAGTAATATTAAATAATATTATAATTATATATTAGATAATATAATATATTATTTAATATTACTCTATTATAAATAATAATAATATTAGAGTATAATAGTAAAATAATAATATTTGAGTAATATTAAATAATATTAAATAATATTATAATATATTATTTAATATTACTCTGATATTATAAATAATAATAATATTAGAGTATAATAAATATTATATTCTAATATTATAAATAATAATATTAGAGTGTAATAAATATTATACTCTAATATTATTTAATATTAAATAATAATATTAGAGTAATATTAAATAATATTAAACAATATTGTAATATATTATTTACTATTACTCTAATATTATAAATTTATTATACTCTAATATTATAAATAATATTAGAGTATAATATTTATTACAAAATTTATATATATTTGTAATTTTAGAATATTTTCAGAGAAATATTTATAATCGATAGGAGATATTTTACTTTCAGTTCTGTATAAAATATTGTGTGAATTGTTCTTGTATTATATTCTTATCTTTCATGTGAAATTGAAACTAAAATATTTTCCAGCGTCTGAACGGAAAAAAAGTAACAATTAGTTAATAAATAATTGGTTGTTGCAACAATTTAAAAATAACTCAAATCTTGGGATTTGAGAATGTGTGAATTTGAGAAACACAGAAATAACTACACACGATAAGGTACAAGACATGCCTGTATTCAAGGTAAATGTGTTCATACCGTTACCAATACTTCCGGTCTCCGGGTGCCATGGACGTAGCAGGCCATGCAATCAACCATGTGTCACTTTGTAGTGTGACTGTGTAAAGAACTTCAATGAAAATGTTTTCCTAACAATTCTGATCTCGTTGAAAGTCGTGGATACACTACCGAAGACAATTTCCAAGATTTCGAATATTCGTAGAAAACAGCGTAATTTAAAAAACTGAAGCTTTCAGGAGGAAGGAAAAAAGTGTAACTTTAAATTATTTACTATTTGACTTCAAAATTATTTTATTTACTATTTGACTTTAAAATTTTTAACTTTATTATTTACTATTTGACTATTACTATTACTGTGACTTTTTTATTTACTATTTGACTATTACTATTGCTATGACTTTTTTACTTACTATTACTTTATTTACTATTTGACTATTACTATTACTGTGGCCAAATGTAGTTAAGAAAAATATGGAAATTCAGCTTGAACATTTTGTAGTCAAATTCGCTTTCGAAGAGGGTGAAATTAACCCTCAAAAAATTCTCCTATTTCTCGATTTATAAATCACGAATAATTGCAATAAATTTTTAAGCAAATGTCACTTCTTCTAATTAAGGTTATTTAAGGCTATCACGTAATGGTTATCATATCATTCAGGTTATCATATCGAAATTAGATTATTAATAAGTGGCAAATCTAAGAATTACCAAATTAGTAAAAATACAATAACTCGAATGCATTGCAAAATCTTCCCCGTTTTTAAAAAGATTTATTTAAATATAAAGTATTTTTTGGAAAATTTCGTACGTGCTATTTCTTTGTTTTTTAAAAACTCAACTCTGCTTCCTTATTCCTACATTCCTGTATTCAGAAATATGTCGTTTTAACATGTTCTTTTTATTTTCAAGCAGAATGTATTACTCTCATTCAAAATACATCGACTTGGACACATATATGTTACATATACGTTTGACACATATATAATAATTGTTTCTACAGATATAATTTGATAACATATATTATATATAATAAAAATTATTAGTAATATATATATATTAATTATTACATATAATTAAGATAAATATATTAATATTATTATATATCTATTATATTATTGATAATATATACCATATATAATAAAAATATCATTTTACTATTGCCAATTTACTCACATTGCAATATACTTACTGGCACATACATATATAAAACAGTTCCCATCAACAAAAGAACAAAATTTCTGAATTTGTTCACTTCTACAATAACTCTTCAGTGTTATCTATATATATATCTTCAGTATTATATATATATTTATATTATTATATATAATTAAGATAAATATATTAATATTATTATATTATTGGTAATATATACCATATATATCATTTTACTGTTGCCAATTTACTCACATTGCAATATACTTACTGGCACACACATACATAAAACATTTCTCATCAACAAAAGAAAAAAATTTCTCAATCTGTTCACTTCTACAAAAACTCATCAGTGTTTTATATATATATATTTATATTATTATATATAATTAAGATAAATATATTAATATTATTATATTATTGGTAATATATACCATATATATCATTTTACTATTGCCAATTTACTCACATTGCAATATACTTACTGGCACACACATACATAAAACATTTCTCATCAACAAAAGAAAAAAATTTCTCAATCTGTTCACTTCTACAAAAACTCATCAGTGTTTTATATATATATATTTATATTATTATATATAATTAAGATAAATATATTAATATTATTATATTATTGGTAACACATATACCATATATATCATTTTACTGTTGCTAATTTACTCACATTGCAATATACCTACTGGCACACACATACATAAAACAGTTCTCATCAACAAAAGAACAAAATTTCTCAATCTGTTCACTTCTACAAAAACTCATCAGTGTTTTATATATATATATATATATATATATATATATATATATATATATATATTATTATATATAATTAAGATAAATATATTAATATTATTATATTATTGGTAACATATACCATATATATCATTTTACTATTGCCAATTTACTCACATTGCAATATACCTACTGGCACACACATACATAAAACAGTTCTCATCGACAAAAGAACAAAATTTCTCAATTCTGTTCACTTCTACAGAAACTCATCAATGTTTCTTTTCTTGATAAGAGAATAAAGTATCGATGTTTGATAGACAAACTCGTGCCTCAGAACGATATTTAAAACAAAAGTTATTCGTTTCAGCTTTGTCCAGGAGTTCGCCTCGCCGCCAGCTGATGGAGTCACCCTGTTGCTTGAAACGCTTCGCGGTGTTCAGTTGGCCCAAAGTTCGCCACCGTCTTCCGGTCACACGGGTCCACGAGTCGGTACCAGAAGAGCTGCGCTGGACGAATTGGGTTGCGTCGAATGTTTGGCCGCATGCACCGAACGATGCACCGATGCACCGAGGCTCCTGGTGCAAGCTCAACCAGGTCTTCTTGCTCTGGCAGTTTGTCTGACTAGTAGCTTGAACCGGTCCCGAGTCCTGGCTCTCCAGGTAACAATCGTCACTTCCGTTCCGAGTACCACGAAGTACTGTTAGTAAAAAAAAAAGAACCCGACTGGAATCGTACATGAGAATCGTACTCTCTCTCTCTCTCATTATCATCTTGTCATACACGTATCTTACCATCTCTGAACATTAACATTGATGTTAACACGCTTTCTCTAAGAAAACACTTTTGGTCTCAACACGGTGCAAATATTATTTGTTATTTGTTTTCGAAGTTCTTTTTTTTTTTTTTTTTGTCAAATTACGTTCTTTCCATTTTATATTATTCGCAAGAAAAAAAGAAAATTGAAACGAACAGAAATTAGAATTGCACAAATGTGGGAATCACATACGTTTGTTGCGTAACTTTTGTACAATATTTCTTTTATTTTTGTGGAATATGTTTTTTTCTTTTTTTTGTTAAATTACATTTTTCTCCGTTTTACATTTATTCGGTGAAAATATTAAAATTTGGTTAGAATATAGAAGAGTTTCCATTAGATGCCTTTTCTTTTCTTGGCAAGCAGATAAATTTTTTATCTTCATGTCAAAAGGAGAAAACATCATATCTGGTGATAAAAATTTTAAAGAAAGCAAATCAATATATATCCAACACAGTGGAACTTTTATTAGTATCTTTTTCTTAAATCAAGCACGATGTTTATTCGAAATCCATTTATTTATAGTACAATTAATCAAACTTATCTTCAACTTCAAGGCCACATCCACTTTTTAAAGTGAAATTATATATTTTTTGCTCCATATTAATATCGATGCAACTCGACATTTTCTATAATAAAGTATTATCTACATATGTCGAGAACTTATCAATTTAGGAGATTGTTTAATCTTAATTCTGTAAAATCCATCGTACGAAATAGGAAAAGAGTCTGCTGAATATTACTGTGTTCATACTTGTCCTTGTCTTTAATACATAGAATTTTATAAAAAATTGACGCTAAGATTTCTCCTGATTTGTTAATTTTTCCACATAAATAGGTCGATACTTTTTTAAAGGGGATAAAAAGCTGCATCGATTGGTCTATTAAAAAGAAAAACACGCCCTATATAAGTATCTCGTATATAATATTATGAAATATATAATAATATAATAATATAATAGTATATAATAATATATAATAATATAATAATATAAAATAATATAAAAAAAATCACCCTATATAAGTATCTCATATAATATTATGAAATATATAATATAATAGTATAAAATAATAATAATAATATATATAATAATATGAAAAAAATCAATCTATAGAAGTATCTCATATATGATATTATGAAATATATAATATAATAACATAAAATAATATAAAATAATAATAATATATATAATAATATGAAAAAATCCTATAATAGTATCTCATATATGATATTGTGAAATATATAATATAAAATAATTAATAATACATATAATAATATGAAAAAAATCCTATATAAGTATCTCATATATGATATTATGAAATACATAATATAATAATATAAAACAATAATAATATATATAATAATATGAAAAAAATCACCCTATATAAGTATCTCATATCAATATTATGAGACATAATATAATAATATAATATAATAATATGTATACTAATATGAAAAAAATCACCCTATATAAGTATCTCATATAATATTATGAAATATATAATATAATAGTATAAAATAATAATAATATATATAATATGAAAAAAAATCAACCTATATATAGAAGTATCTCATATATGATATTATGAAATACATAATATAATAATATAAAACAATAATAATATATATAATAATATGAAAAAAATCACCCTATATAAGTATCTCATATATAATAATATATAATAACATGTAATAATAATAATACATATAATAATATGAAAAAAAGAATCACCCATATATACAAGTATTTCATATATAATACAATAATATATAATAACATGCAATAATAATATATATACTAGTATAAAATAATAATATAAATGCCACATACAGTTTATCCATTTCGATTTCCGTTATAAATTCAATCACGTAACCGAGCAGAGATAATCGCGCCATTTTTCAGTTGTTTTTCTCGAAATGAAACGCCGATTTTTTTATCACCCGCCGATAACTGATATTCGCGTGCAGATAATCAGCTTTGAAACGAAGTTTGAAGAGTTGGCTGGCGGTTGGTTCGACCTCTCCGCGCGATGAACGAAGAAGTTGGAAAAATAATAACCAACACCCGGGCACACGGAGTGGGTCAAATGCTCATCTGGCTGGAGATGCTCGCCTCTCTTAACTAAATACGCCTGACCCATTCAGATAGTCGTAAACGTAACGCGGTTTCCAGCAAACTCGGTCCACTCGGCGGCCACAGGGCCCCGTTATTTCGAGTGTTGTTCACTCCGAGAACCAGTTTTTATCGTCTATCCGAACGTTATTCGGCCAGCAAACTCATTTGCAAACTCCTCGCACATACGTACGTACGCTCGGTGGCCAGTTCTTTTTTTTTCTTCTTCTTCTTCTTCTTCTTCTTCTTCTTCTTTATTTCCTCCGAGGAAGTACACCTTGCCAAGCATCGCGGTTACGATCAGATGTTGACTAACCGAACTGGATAATTACCTCCACGGCACGTGATCACAGGGAATATAATGAGAATAAAGAGATCGTTATCCCACCGGTGAGCAACTGTCGGCAGGACTTTAGGCTTGCTGACTGAAGGCTACGAAAACTCGCGACTGTTGGTCGTGGCTGCCACGTTAAATTTATTCGCGTGGTTTCTTTCTCTGTTTTGGGGATGTTTAATTTTTTGGAAAATGTTGCAATATATTTATAATAATATATAATATATTTAATATATGTTATATAATATATATAATATATTTAATATATGTTATATAATATATATAATATACTTAATATATATTATATAATATATATAATATATTTAATATATATTATATAATATACATGATATGTTTAACACATATTATATAATATACATGATATATTTAATATTATATTATACATGATATATTTTATATTATATTATAAATAAATAAATTATGTTATGTTATATTATATATTATATATTTATAATATATAATAATATATAATATATAATATGTATAATAATATATTTACAATATATTTAAAATAATAATAATTAATATATTAATATATAATAATAGAATTATAATAATAATAATATTGATATAATATTTTTAAAATATCAACATTTGGAAATGTTAGGTTCGTTTTTGCCCAGGCATGTTTGTGGAATGTTTAATTCTTTAGAAAATAATTCATTGCTGTAAAAATACCAATATTGGGAACTATTCTCTTAGAAAAATTCTAAGGTTCAGTATAATAACACAATTTATAAATGAAAATTATAATTCAAATGCAACAAACTGTTTTTTACCGACTTAGATACATTGATCTCACTGAAAAAAAAAAAATCTTATCCTTTTTATAGTAAACTGACAAAATTGCACGATTTCTCTCCCACTGGAAACGACTGTATCATCGAGCAGTTCAATCAAATTCCCTGCAAATAAAAATACTCGCAACTCTGAAAACTCGTTAACATCAGCGGTGACTAATAGTAATTAACGTAATTCCGTGGTTCGATACTCTGTGTGTAATAAAGAAATCGCTACGTTCGATCACGAGTCTCACTTACAATTAGATGGGATCCTCTGAGCACGCTCCACTCGATCCTTTGCGTAACGACTTCAGGTTCCTTTGGTTCGCTCTTTCTAGAATTAATTACATGCCAGCTTTAATTTCATTCTCACAGGAAATTAAGTCTCGTGCGGCGCACGAGAGAAACGAGTTCAACAGACTGTGGCAACAGTTTGTTGAACAGAGCAGACTCGGAAACCCGAATCGATCTCCTCCTAAGACCGTTTGCTCTTTTTTTTCTAGCTGCTGACGAAGGTTTGCCAGACGCCAGGTGGCCACGTGGTAGTCTCAGAAGCTGTGTCCACCCTCAGGCTGAAATACGGCGAAGGCGGGAGATTCCGTTTTCTGGCTGGGGCTCTCCTCGCCCCGAGAGCCGCGATCGCGCTCAGAGTCGCCGGAGTTTCCTTCCTGAACGCCTTCCTCAAATCTGCGCCGCGAACGCAAACCAGATTGTACATTCAGGTAACGTGCCCTCGATCGAACGTTCGCCAGTTTTCCAGAGGGTTCTTGGAATGAAAAAAGGAAAAATGAAAAATGAAAAGTTGAGGGAGATACGTTGAGGCATTTTCTAGCTTTCTGTTTCTGTTGTTTGAATAAAACATGTCCCTCATTTTTATATATTCATTCATATTTTACATATGTTTATATAAATATATAATTTCTATGATATTTAATTAATTATATTTAATTAATTATATTAAATATAATAATATATATTTATATTTATATAGTATTTATATACACATATATATAGTATTTTATATATATTTATATATATATTAAATTATATAACTATAATATAAAATTATATATTTGTATAATATTTTATATATATTTATATTTAAATATATAATATTTTATATATATTTATATTTAAATTATATAACTATAATATGAAATTATATATTTGTATAATATTTTATATATATTTATATTTAAATTATTCAACTATAATATAAAATTATATATTTATGTAATATTCTATATATATTTATATATATTAAATTATATAACTATAATAGGAAATTATATATTTGTGTGTAATATTTTATCTATATTTATATTTAAATTACATAACTATAATATAAAATTATTTATTTATATAGTATTATTTATAAAACTTATATATTTATATAATTTTATATATATTTTATATAATTTAGTTTCAGTTAGAAACAAGTTAGAAAATGTTTAATTTAATGAAATGAAACTCTATTAAGCATTACCCTATTAAGTATCTCGATGTGGCTATAAATTACTGAAGTTATCTCAATTTCTTTTAGTTTCAGTCTAACATAATTGCAATACATGTGTGTCTAATGATGAAGAATTTAATTGACAAAGTGAACGATAGTTTGAGTAATAATTAACGTATGTTAATATGAGAATATCTTTGTCGTGTCTCGTTTGAGTCAGTTCAATACATAAAATATGTATCAAACTCACTTTACGTGACCAAGAATTTGTCTGTATATAAAAAATATTTGGCACGTACGAAAGAAATTTACCACGACGTAACGTTGATTTATTCGCTATTAGGCCGAGGCCTGCGAAGCTGGACTAGAGCCGCAGGTGCTTCATGAATGGCTGAAAGAATTGGACGGCCGGGAGGAGGACGCTTTGCACGATCTCCTGCATAAGGAGGTTCAGAAATGGTCACACAACTGCGTGGACGTGGACGCCCTACAGCGGCGAGTGGTACGTGCCGAGGAAACTTGCAGGATCCTCGGCAAAAAGGTATCGGCCCTGCAGACGCAGCTTCAGCAGATGCAGCTGGAGAAGCTGAACAATTACAACCTCGAGGACAACCGTGAGAAGATGACCGTGCTCAGTACGAAACAGTCGCCGAAGGTGTCGTCGAACGCCGAGGACGAGGGCATCAGCTCGTCGGAGAGGTCGAGCAGCCCGGAGAACACGAAGCACCAGCCGCGTGCTGCCAGCCGTCAGAAAGGCACCAGCAACGTCTCGCCAGCGGACAACGATCAGGAAACGACGATCGACGACGTGATCGAGGAGCTGAGGATCATCGTGAAGGACGCCGAGGAGGAGATCGGCGACAAGAGCCGCCACGAACAGAATCGAATAGACCAGGGCTTCTACAACGCCGAGGACTCCGCCGAGATCAAACTGCGCAGAACTGGCTCGAAGGTTTCGCTGGACAATTCCGAGGCGTACGTCTACGACAAGGTGTTGAAGAGAGATCGTCCGACGGACGCGAAGGCCACTTTGAAATCCAACACTGGCTCGAACGTGTCGCAGAGCGTGATCAAGGGCGAGCAGGTGACTTACTTTGGCAACGATCGGGACTACAGCACGGATTCCAACGACGAAGCGCGTCGAGTCTCGAAGTCCTCGGTTGAAGGTAGCGTGAAGATCGTCGTAAAGGGGCCAGACGTCGAGGAGGCGATCGTACCGACGATTCTGCATCCTCAGCCGCCTAGGAAATCGCCGCCCTGCTTGTCGGCTATCATGGCGGTGAGGCGTTGCGACTTCATCGACCAGGAAGAGGCGTTCAATTCTCACGACGAAGACATCGAGGACGAGACACTCGGCGATGGCAGCGATTCCCTACTCAGTGCCTCTCGGCTGAAGTACAGCGGGAAGAGCGAGACGTTCGAGGGCCAGGTGAAGAACACCGAGGTCGATCATTTCCAGAAACAGTGCGGCAGGAAGGAGACGGAAAGCGGCAACGATCGGAAGAGCTTGAAGAAGAGCTTCGACGACCTTCGACGCTTCAGCGGAAGCGAAACGAAGGAGAAGAAGACGATCAGGAACTACGAGACGTCGTGCAACGCGAAGAGCAGGACGACGAACGATGCCAAGTCGAACAACAGGCACGACGGTGTTTTCTCGCAGAGGCACGGCTCGAAGTACAGAAGCGAAGTGGAGAAACGGAAGCTGCTTCGTAGGTCGGCGAGTCACGATTACCTGGAATCGAGCGCCTCGAGTCCACGATCGAAGAGATCCGGCAAAAGCAGGGTGGAGAGCCACATCAGGAAGTTCGAAAGCTTGAACTCGTTCGACGAGCATCGTAGCCTCCAGAGTTACCTACAGGGGAGACCGGGTAGCACGGAGAATCTGAGGAAGCAGGAGCAGTTTTTCAGGGAGGAGAGCTCGAGATGCAGAATGCGCAGGTCCGAGTCGTTTCATCACGTCTCTCACGTCGCCAGGAAGGACCAGTGCTCGTCGTCCCAGGGAGGAAGCGACAGCGGATTGTTCTACATAACGGACTTCAACCTCGAGCCTCTGGTAACGCGGCGACCGAGGTCCATCGAAGCCCCGAAATCGCCCAATCTACTGACCAAATCTTTGGACAGAATCGACGAAGGGTTAGACTCGATGATCGATATTGTAATCACGGAAGAAAGAAGCCAGTGGAGCTCCAGCAAGTATCAGTCGAAGACGAAGAAGTCGCGGGAGGAAAGAACGCTGATCAGATCGAAGTCGAGCAGGTTGGAAGACTCGAGAAGTTGCTTCGAACTCGGGTCAAAAGCGAGGAAAGAAGAGTCGAAGAGCAAACACTTGAAGAACGACGAATTCTACTCTGGACACGTGAGCAACAAGCAGCTGAGAAGCGACGAGTTGTACGAGGAACAGAGGAACCGAGAATGGAACGAGACCAACTGTTCCAGAAGAAACGAGTTAGATCTCGATTGCACGCAGTTGATACTGACGAAGAATGGCGCGCGACACAATTCGTTTTGTCAAAACGAGACTATCGGCAACAGGTTCTTGAACAAATCAATGGATTCCGGGATCTTCGCTGGGCGAACCTACGACACGTTTGGATTGGGGAAAAGTCGGTTCAACGCTGGGAAATACTCGGGAAATCAACAGGTGAAAGAAAGTCCGATTGGAAGAAGAAACACCACCTCGTCAGCGGGTGGAAATCGTGGGAAGGTCACTGACGTTGTTTCAGGGCTTTATTAGAATTATTTATAAGCGTGTTTAAATCTTTTAATCCTGCTCACATGCTCACAGAAAATACTATATTGTATATTCGATTATATTCTTGTACAGATTTTTGAGAGAGTTTCAAGCGATTATTTCGTATAATATTATTTTGCGATTGATTTATCTGACGTTTGATATTCGAATCAAAATACTTAATACCTATCGCAATATTTATCGTAAATCGTAATTAAGCAAATACACCATTGCAGTTCAATTATCGGCCAATTGATAACTTAAATTAATAAACTGTTGATAAATTTGGTAAACATGTACGTCTCAGCATGATGATAGATATTTTGGTGATGGAACCAATTACACGATCTTAGCGGACAGTGTGCAATATATTTTTTCATAAGAATAAAAATATATAGGATATACAAGAATATGTACCTTTGTAATTACGTTGCGTCGAAGGAAAGACTGTAATTTATAAACGTTTACGTAAGCATGTACAAATTATAACACATAAATATTTACTTAATATATTATTTATTTCTTACTGGTATAACAAATGTAAAAAAAGAAAAAAAAACAGAAATATAACATACTTCTTACATACTTTTCTTAATTGGTACTGAATTTGTCAGACGTTCCATTTTCTTCAATTTGATTTAACAATACTGAAAATTGTCCTGCGATGGATGCTACTATTTTAACGAAGTGCAAAAGTAAAAAGTTTGTTTCAATAAAAAGAGTCAAGGTAATCTTCTTATGAAAATTTTCATGATAATATCTGTGAACTTTATCATTTCATGGAAAGAGTCGAAAGCGAAACTTTAAACTGAAAATATTATTTACTGTTTAACTGGCTGTAGCGTGTAACAATGTGGTTGTGACTTCATTAAGTTCATGGCATGAACGACTACTTCGATGAATAATTTCGGGACTATTTAACATTAATGGTTCGTGCGATTTGTCGCGTGTTATTTCTAAAAGTTGTTGCGATGTTTTATCTAGAAATAGGAAACAATTAATGGATATAAGCGTATATATTGAAGTAGATGTAATATATTTATATTTACCTTGATGCGTCGATAATAAGTATGATAATTCATCCTGGGTAGAAATATATTGAAACTCTTCTCCGCAGGCTCCTTTAAGTACAGCAATAACATCCGATCGCGGATTGTAAAAATATAAACCTTGTTTTCGATTGTTAAATTCATTTATCAATGTTGCTATTCCCTGTAATCAAAATAGCATACCATAGGCTTTGCTACATAAAATTTTATCGTTAAATTCAACCTACTTTTGCGGCAGTAAAATCAGCTCCGAGAATATACCTGCAGTCGACTACAACTGGAACTTGACAAGAACCTTGCTTTATTCCGGCATTACCAACTGACTTTTTAATAAAGTCCACAGCTGGAAAATAAAGACTATTTCCTGGTGTTACTAAAAGATAGTCAGCCCCAGAAGTTGTCTAAAATACACGCAATTCGTGTATGTTTAAAAGCGTGTGATTACACGATCTTATTTCTTGGTTTCTCATTCATTACTCACTTTACATTTGTCAACGTGTATTGTAGGACGTGCCGAGGGATATAGCAAGAACATGAGATTTATTCCTACACCTAATAAAATTCCATATTCAACACCAACAATCAAGCAGAACAAGAAGGTCACAAACATTGGAATCAAATCCTTTTTACTGGTTTTCCATATGAGCTTTACAACTTGATATTCAATCATGTATATCACCGCACAGATAATAACTGCAGATAAGGAAGCTAAAAAGGAAATGATATCTATTTAGAGATATTGATTTACAAAACACAGAAATTAACAGAAATAAAGAGAAAGTTGCATCACCCTTTGGTATAAAGTAGAAGTAAGGGGTAAGTAGACTAAGAGCCAGTAATATTAATATCCCAGTATATAAACCACCCATTGGCGTTTTCACACCACTGGCATGATTCACTGCAGATCTGCTAAAGGAGCCAGTAACGGGCATTGCACTTGCGCAAGATCCAAGAACATTGCAAATCCCTAAAGTAATTAGTTCCTGAGTGGCATCTACTTTGCCACCGTTTGCAAAAGCCTTTGCTATCGCCACGTTCCCAAGGACTCCGATTATTGGTACTAATGCTATAGATGCACCCAACTCTGAACACATTTCAGTGAAAGTCAAAGTCTCATTTTTCACTCGCGTGGAAAACGGAGGTAATCCAAAGGATGGAAGACCGGATCTCACAGGGCCAGTGAGAATGAACGGGGAACCATGTTCGGTAGAGTTTAGTTTGTAAGCAATGGTGGAGCAAATTATAACAATGACAGCGTTTCTAGCTGTTGATAATAACCATATCATTTTCATCAGTATCCTTTGATATCTATTTGGTTTCTCGTTGTTCGAGCACAGCTTGATGTCTTTCATTTTCTAAACAATGACAACAGCTCATTTTATTTATAATTATTTAAACACTTCAACTTTGGCTAACACGTATCTTTACATTACCCTGAATAACAGTAGGATAGTGATACAAGACAGGCTCATCCCAGTATCCCACCAATTGACCCGATGAATGTTTTGTAATACTTTTGTTAAAGTATCCAAGAACCCTTGGGAGGAGATTCTCAATCCCAAAAGACCCTTCAACTGAGAAACCACAATTATAACAGACGTCGCGGAGGTGAATCCGACTGTGACTGGTATCGATATAAAGTCTACAAGTACGCCTGGAATACAAATTCTGCGGTCAGTGTCAAAAAGACCAAAAAAAAAAAAAAAAAAAAAAAAGAGTAAAGGGGAAAGGAGGTCGAGGGTTTCCATTTACTGGGTCATTTGTTGGCAAACGCGCGATGGNCCGAGCATGAATATGAAGATTACTTTTCTCCATCGTTCTTAGTTTTCTCGAGAAAGTCAATTTTGAAAAAAAAAAAAAAAAAAAAAAGAGAAAAATGCTGCGCGAAAATTGTGATTATTGGTAACGTGACACACTACCTAGTCGCAGGAAAGCCATCAATATTTGCAAGCAACCGCATAAAAAGGCTAGCAATATCGCGAAGTCCGCGTTTCTGCCTTGGACGTACTCGTGAGTCATCAGTGCCATAAGGGCAGTGGGTCCAATCGTGATATCTTTACACGAGCCGAATACTATGTACACCATGGCTCCCATAAATGCGGAATATAGGCCATACTGTGCAGGAGACGTAGGATTTGTTACTTTAAACGAACGAATTGTCTCGTTGGAGAAAGATATCGTTCACCTGAGGCTCTAAGCCGGCTAGAGTGGCGTAGGCAAGTCCTTGCGGCATAACAGTGAGCCCGACGGTGACGCCGGCTATGGCATCGTTCAGAAACTTCTCGGAATTGTAATTCGGCAACCATCCGGTAATTGGTATTCGTTTCTTGACAAATTTATTGAACTGTCCGCCTCTCGGATGCCATCGTTTCTTGTCCGTGTCGTCCAGGGCCATTGTGAATTATGCACCTTCGAGAGAAAAAAAAAAAGCGAACAAGTTGGTTGTCTGAAAGTGTGAAGAAGAACGGGGAAACAAGGGCGAATTACTACGATTTTTCTTTTCCCATTCTTCCTCTCTTTCCTCACCCGTGAAAGTAGCAACTTTCACCGAAACGCAAAAAGCTAATCCTTTTCAAACGATCGCGCGGTTTACCACTAACAGCTATTAGCGGGAGAACCTACTTGAAATATATTCAAATTGGCGGTGTTCGCGGTTACACGGCGTAACGAGAGACTAAAAGAGACTAAAGGCATCTCGGTCGCTTATATAGCCGCAGATACACCGTGAAATTCGTCTCACGTTACCGAAGGAAAACTTCGCTGCTAGCCTTCACACTTTTTACCATCGAATGTTAAAAAAAAAAGAGAAGAAACTAATTACTGCTTGGCGTGAGAAGCAGGTATTTATGTCGATCGTTTGAATGTTCCAGCAATAATGTGACAAAACTGTCCGATTTACGATAAAAGATGAAAATAATACATGGCCAGTATAACGATATAAAGAATTAAAAACGATTAAACGTAGAAAAAAAGAAATATATGTGAACGTGAATGACAACGTATATTTTTGTCTTTTTGCCGGTACGTGCACCGAAACAACAACCGCGAGAACGTCACGGGTGTTAACGATCGTATCCCGCTCCAATAATTGCCGGGCAAAACACGCCACTTGATTTGAATTTCACTTGGCGTAAAGGTTATACCGGGCGTAAAGGTGTCTTTTTGCCGTTTTACGTGTCATTGACCACCACGGCTATTCCCATGCGACGATTTCACGACACGATTTCAACTCTGTCTGACACTTCAACTCGACCGGCTGAATTAAAGGGCCACGGCTACTTGACCCTTCTCGTTGACAACGACGATCGGACACGCATCGAGAAACTATAACGCGGCCGCATGCGAGTTAGATTCTCGTCCAGATATATATACGTACCAATTACACGGCAGAGCGAACGTGATAACATACTTCCGTGGAGCGCGAGCGTTGCAGGGGGCACGTCGTTAATCATTATAAAATATCGTGTCCGTACTTGTCATTTTCCTCGCAGAAGTATCGATCATGTACGGAAACGAGGGCGTGTAACCTTATTCGCCAGCCGACTGCTAGCTCGCGCGATGTCATACTTTCTTTTACAATTTCATCGTTGCACGAATTTACAGAGAGAGAGAGAGAGAAAGAAATGGCCAAATGCACTTTCCGCGAAACGATCGCATGTACGCACCAAGCACGATCTTACTACGAACTGAGCGTAAGAATCGGCATTTCGGGTTGGTTAGGGATGGTTCGACGAAAGAGAGAGAGAGAAAATGCAGTTCGCGCATTTGCCGGCAGAGGGACTGCATCTCTGCTGCAGTCGGTAATTTAGGAAGAACGAGTACGGGAGAGCTTGTTATCTTGTCTCGGGTGACAGCCAATAAATTCTACGTTTCGAAACGTCCTTTGAACGGGGGCATCGTTTGAATTTCGAAAACGTTTATTACGGTTACGGAGAGCAACAAAGTTTCCCTGAAGGGAATCACCGTCGGGGGATCATCGTCACGTTTATCGAGCGACCTAATGCCGGATAAATATGTACGATGAGAGGGCTACGCGAGAGTCGCGTTCCTCTCGCACGCTTTGGAGATTTCTCTTTCGTTTGCATTTACGCATCCCCCTGTCCGTCAGTATTATGGCGTCCTTTACTGCGGTCGGTTGTCTGTTCTAATCTCCGTGAATTCAATGGAAGTGAAACATCCGCTGCAAAATATTCTGGTTTAACGCTTTGATCGTCATCGAGAGACTAAATTACACGGTAACTAGACAATTTATCAATATCCGTAGATAACCGTATCGTCGCCGAGTCGAGAGAGATTCGGTAACGACGACTTGGTCGTTTCAATTGCGTCGTAAACGAGCTCATTGTTGTTGTTTTTGATGTCCCGAGCGAGGATACGGACTCGCTGACCAAAGTGACTGTCATTTTCCCTGTGTGTTGGCCGTAGAGCCAGTTCATAAATTTTTATACGGTGTAACGTATCGTTATCGAACGGTTATTATTATTGTTTTTTTTTTTTCATTTATCGTTACAAAATTTGCCAATGACCTCAGGTTATTACCCGGAGAAAGTAATTTGTATTAATAGAGAAGCTATTATATTGCAAAGGTACAATGTGTTCAACTATTCACTCTGTATGTTTCAGTTTTAATATTTTGCGCCGTTTCGTTGTTTTACATTTGATGACATTACTGATTGTCTCTGCGACATTGGAATTGTACTTGTTATGTTTCACAAGCGTGCGTTCCTTTGCTCTCGATTCTGAATATGATTGATGTATTATGAAGATCACATTTCGTTTTTTTTGTAACTAAATTTGTAATAGGTAGAATGGATTCCGGTGATACTGATTTAAAAAAGACATTTGATATAGAGCAGATGGCCTTAATCGGCAAGATGCATAATATGCAGTGGCTAAAAAGTAATTCTCAGTTATCAGGCCAGTATGTTTGTATCTATTTTATACATTTTAATTTACTCTGTTATTTTGCATTTCTGTATTATCCTTATGTTGTTGCTTCAGTAACTAGTTCTTCTATTATCTAAAGCTTTAATGAAATACGATGTCAGAATAAATTTATGTTTATTTATGATGATTAATATTCTTTTGTCATACAGTAAGAATTATAACCTTGTAAGCAAGTGATATCTAATCAGTAGTAGAGTTCTATATATTTAAAAAGTGAAAATTGTAAAATATTGGAAAATTATTTGTAATCATATTTCCTAATGCTGTGTGTCTTTTACATTGTAGCACAAAAACACTTCCAGATGAGAAAGAAACAATAAATAATACAGTTAAAAGTGAAGTAAATGAAGGAACACAAGAAGAGAGTGAAGTTGTTCCAACTGATACTCCTTCAAACAATTCTGAATTAAATAAGATTGATTCTGTTTTAAACAAAGATACAAATGAAAACGATAATACAGTAAACAAGAATATACTTCAATCACCTTTGGAAGTGGTTGATTTTTCTCAGAAAGATATGGAAACAGTTTGGAGTAAAGATGTTGATGTAACTAATACGCTATTTCCAAACTCTCAATCTTTGATAACACAAAAGGTGGATGATCAAGAAGTGATCAATATGTCTGTAACGGAAAACATTGTTACGGTTCAATTGGAGCAACTCAGGCTTAACGAAGAGGAAAATAATAAATCTGACGAATCACGTAATGAATGGTGTGTAATAAATTTAGGAATTTATTCTTTCTATTGCAAATTTGTATATTTTATATGTGTGTTACTTATGTGGGTTAGGGGTAATGATCAGCATAATATATCAAAGTCAAACAGTGACATAGATAATCAAGTAAGCTCTAAGCAATGTCATGATAACAATAATAATAATGAAAAATCCAAAAGTCAGTCATCACTGGACACAAAGACAAATATACAGAAGACAAAAAGATTAAGTGACCAAAAGATTAAAAAACAAGCAGGTAAGAATGAAATTTTCAATGTTGATATTGTTGAAAGAAATTTGTAGTAAGAAGGAAGTTTTTTGCTTGCAGGTAATTCTTTAAAAGAACCTTGGAACTCAAAACATGGTTCTAAATCTAAGGATGACTTGTTCAATTTATGTAATGATAATATTGTAACCTCGACTTCTATGGATCCAAAAAGAATAGCTGTAGGGACAACATCTAAGCTTAATGATAAATATAACAAGGTCAATAGTTACAATAAAAATTTAATGGCAGGAAAAGGGACACGAATGAAGGAGCAACAGTTTTTTAAACAACATTTTTCTACATTTAATGATAGTGGTAATAAAAGCAGATCCATAGAAGGGTTAGATGAGAAAAGTAAATCTGTTGCAACAAAATTAAAACCAAGTGGAAGTGAATTAGACAAAAAAAGTAATGACGTAGTGGATGACATAAAAAAATGCCATAAGGTTGAAGTGACACGTACTCAATCATATAATGTCCAATATATTAGGAATAAATCTTTAGTAAAGTCACAGCAACGATATTCAAGAAATACAACTAAGCCAGAAGAAAATGGTTGTATTAATAATCCATCTGGCTTTAATAACAGTATTAATGTGTCTAATTCAATTGAGAACGTATCAAGAAAGAAATGTGAAACTCAACAATCTTCAGCAAATAAACAAATTAGCAATATGCAATTCAGTCAGAATGCTTTTGGGAAAGGTACAAAGAATTCAAATATTACGGACTGCAACACAAATGAAAGAAATTCAATAAAATCAAACTCGATATCAAATAAACGAAATTATCCGAATTTATCTAATGCAAAGAATAGTAATGAAAGAAATATTAGAGATGATCAGGCATACAATCAGAAATTTAAGAAAGATTCTAATATTTATAGGCGATCTTCGGGCGTTCTTCAGACATACTTTAAAGATGTAAGTGGAAAAACAAAAACAGATGATCACAAAAGAAATATTACGGATAATAACATAATGAAAGATTACAGAGTAAATCATATTAATTCAGGAGATGGAAGAATGCGTTCTCAATCTAAAAGCTCAAAAATAACTGTATACTCGCATAAGACAAGTAACGGTGCTAGTAATACAAAGACTGATGCATTAGATTCAACTGCTATAAATAATGTACAGTCTATAAATCCATTAAATTCTTTTTCGAGTAGTACCAAAGATTGCACAAGTATATATACATCATCTCATACACCACAAGAATCGCAGATTTCACAAGCTTCTTGTAATGGAACTGAAGTACAATTTGTGAAGACTGAACAAGAAGATACTAGTAATAATAATAGCAATAATAAAACGAGTACTAGTAATTCAGAAACGAAATCGGTTAAATTTTTAGATAACATTCAAGAATTTAATGTGTCACATCATTCAGCAACATCATATTCTGATAATTCCACACATCAAAGCAAGCTCCCAGCAAATTCATTTTATTCTGATTTACAGAATATATCACATCCAAATAATGCTCAACAAATTGAAAACCATCAAAATGTAGAAAATAAAAGTTATTTTGATAATAATAATTCTCAATATAATAATACGACCACCAACAACCAGAACACCGAACGAGATTTACATCTTATGGATTTAGTGCATCAAAAACCAGAACAAACGTCGCATATATCACAACAAAATGTATTGCCGCATCATAATTCTAATTCAACTATCACTATGGGAAATGGTTTACCGTATCAGAATATGCCTGCTGTCTACCTAAATCACTATAACAATACACAAACTGTACCAAGGAAAACAGCTGACAGTACAATCATCCCTCAAAATGCTATAATTCCAAGTACCTCTTCTTACACTGTAGAGAATCAAAACATGCTGCAAACTGATCCTTCCAACATTTTGATGCATAATACTCAAACATCGGTTATACCTCCACCAGGTTTTCACAATCATCCTATAACTACGCAGCCTAATCAATGGAATTTGCCTCTACCTGATGTGTTTCTTTTTGGAAATATGATGAATCCTCCGCATTCTTTGAACATACCAATGCAGAATTCCAGAAACATGTGCAACACAGATTTCAACAACATTCAACAACCAAATTATTTGCAGCAACCGTTATATTATGTTCCACCGATGTGCATGCAAAGTTGGAATCCCATGATACAGTATCCAGCGCGACTATTCCAAAATCCTTCGTACAACAATTGCACAACATTTCCAAATCAAGTATTGCCAACAAATACTTTGACAGACTCTATGAATTGCCCTGTGCCGACGTCTGTACAGAACAATTTGTATAAACATTTCCAGCAGATGCAACCTATGGAAAATGCTCCGAGTTTTACTGTTCCTATAAAGCTTGACAATTACATGGGAAACGTACAAGGTTGTAAAGCGAATAATGTTAGAATGAAGGATAACGCTGTGGACGTTCACATGAGACCTAGTCAGTATCGACCACCTGTGCCAAACGAATATCAAAATTGTTTTCAAGATAATCAGCTAATGGTACCGTTCTCGTACGCGGTTACAATGGACCCTAAGAGTGGCCCGTCGAACATCCACATGCAAGTGAATCAGAAATACGATCCGTGCGGCCTTGCCACCGGTTATCAAAGAATTCCAGAATCTTGTCCTGTGTTTCACAGTAATCAGCATCCCAACAACAGAAAGGACGACGTATCAAAAAATACTACCGAATGTGTACCACCTATGGTGTCGCCAAGAGAATGTATGTACTACGGAGTTAATTACTCGCGAAAAACTGATAACATGCAAAATTCAACCATACGGTCGGATGTAAAACCTGT